CAGCTTGATCTGTGCTGAAGAAAAATGAAGTCAATAATCTGGAACGATTTTCGATTTGAAGGCTTTTGATTGCCATGAAAATTTACCCATTTAAGTAAACTTCTCTCAATTAGAAGACAGTTAAACATGCATTTAAAATAAACGTAACATGCATGAGCGTTTTGATGTGACAAAAACTATGCTTTTGCAGAAGGTAATGCCGACTTGCACCTACTGACTGCCCCCACTATAACCAGCATTTTATTATTATCTCGAAAACAGCGGTTTTCAAAATTTTTAATCTATCGGTCTGCGCAGATTTAATGAAAATTGGGAACGGACGTAATCTTCTTTTTATTCCGTATAACACTGTCGAAATTTGAAAAAAAAACAACGCACAACAGCTACGAACAAACGGGTTAATTTTCATACACTGGGGACCACTGCAAAATGGAGACGTCCACCTTTCAAACGCCAATATTACTTTACTACGGATTTGACGTCGTCACCAGTTGTCACATACTGTAAGCATTTCACAGTAGCCTGCTAAAACTGCCGATTCAACTGTTGTGATCCATCCGCTAAACGTCACATTCAAATTTGTGGTATTCCGTTGACATCCCGTCTTTCTTTTAAACCCACCTTCTGCATAAACCACAACTGGCCATAAAGTTAAAGACACTTACAAGACTAGTCGAAGCCATTGTACTGGTAACAATTCTCCGAAGCAGTTTCGCAACTCTGTTTCCCAGAACCAGGCGTCAACAATAACGTCATAGTGCACATAACGTCGTTGCACATAAATCTGGTAGTTCAGTGACAGCTTGAAACCGAAGTGAGCGACGAGATATAATTCGGAAGGGAGATATCCAGTGCAAGTGACGGTAGATAAAGATGGAGGAACCAATATCAATCATCGGCTGATGTCGCACAAAAACCAATCCAGAGATGGAATAACGCGAACATTTTGCTACTCGAAAAATAAGCTGATTGACAGTGACCCATGAGACACGTTCGGACAGCGAAGTAAGCCATTCGAATGTTTCCAATTCTTTCTCAGCCTAGTGGGTGAGTAAGCCTCACAAAGTCTGGCGAAATTTTTACCAAGTCCAGTAAGCTTCTGTTTGAGCCTATATATTTGTCCATTCCTTGTTGACAGCTACGTATACCGGCTTACCAGCGCAAATTGTTGAACACCGATCATATGGCGAGAGGAAATCAAGTTAGATACTTTATCCTCAGCTTAGGCCCAGATTGTTAAGAGTCTAGCATTTCTGAGTGCTCAACACATATGTTTGCAGACCCTATGCCGCTGACTCCGAAGTTGGTGGGTTGTCCGTGTGTTCAGTAAGCGAGATTTTTAATTCCACCTTGCTATATCTCGCCCAGCTAATGTGTCAACTACACTAGCCACTTCTGAATATGTCACCGTATTTGATAAATATGCGAAAACACTACTACAGCATACTAATTCATGAAAAACGATTTGAACATTTGACGATTTCTAAAATAGGGGTACAACTCAATTCGGCTTTATGGTATGACGTAGTCAGAAATTGCAGAACTGTTTCACAAAATCAACAACAGATTCACTTGAGTTTAACATCGTTTTGTTTGAGGTTACGCTACCAATTAACTTTAATCTAAATTCGTCAAATTAAGCAACTTTTCTGTGTAGCAATTTTGCATTCTCGTGGGGCAGTTTCAAATGTGAGCACTTGCCACTTCTTAAACCATCAATAACTACTGCATAGGTCAGTCTGCTAACGTTCTGCGTCTGAGGTTGCCACAAAAATCAGAACCGATGCTTACTGTAAAACTGAAAAAACCAGATCATTCAAATATTACAATGATTTTTGGTAACCGCTTGAAAACACCAATGCCAAGATTTTGTTCGAAAAATACTGACGCTAAAAGGCTTCAACCAAAATAGTCTTCTGAAGTTCCCCGCTCATTTCGGAGCCCCCTAGAAAACTGATAATATGCTATCTAATGGCGTACACGTTTTGCAGGATACTTCCAGCTGTATTGCAAACGGATAGTGAACTTGAGCGGGTCACAGCTCAGCCACATCAGATTTGCCTGTAAGTTGAATGTTTACGAATGCTGATCCCAGTGTATTTGATACAAACCACCTCAGGTGTTGCAAATATTTCGGGAAAAGCTGCTAAGCATGTTTCCACTTAGTCATGGAGAGTAAAAACTATCAAGTACCTCAACTTTATAAGCACTTGTTACTTTATGAACAGTCTTCCTAGAAATCCAGAGTCCCTCAATATTATCCTTTAAAATGGTGCTGGCAAAAGTTGAGTGAAGGGGCTAACAAAACTAACAATTTCAGTCAGCAGAAAGTTTGGAAACAACTTTGCGGCATGCTTTTAAGAGATCTTTGGTAGAGAATAGGCCCTACTGTCGTTTATCAAGTCCTCCAAAAGCTCGAAAGATTTTGCCACATTTTGGAGATTTTCCTGTACTTTTCTTGATGCGTTCGATGTGAGCTGATGATGTAGTGACAAGACGCTTGCCTTGTTTGACTGGAGACCAACAGTCATGACACGGCTTAGGATATCCACTGCTGATGAGTTCTTAAAAGCGCGAAACATGAGTCCAGTACTTTCCTTTTGTGTGGACTCACCAGAATTATTGCTCCAGGACAAGAAAACCACTGTTTAGACGAGAGTAAGATGATCAGCAAGTCTGAAAATCCCGCATCCATCATCATCACCATCATTGTCAGCTGTAATAACCGCGTACTCGTCCTACAGTGGTTGTAGCTGCCGCAGTTTCCTTCACCGATGATTTGGGCAGGGGACGTAGGTAACTCGCACTGCAGGCAGCAGATGGTAAATTGGTGCGCAAATCCAGCACTGTCAGTGGGCTGTCAAGCGGGCGGTTGGAAAAGGAGCTATACATTGAAGGCAATAGCTTGGATGCATGAGCGCCATTGAGGTCACGACTGGGCCATGTCTGACAGTGTCTCTAGCCATTGATGTTGTCCGTCTCGGGGTCCCTATCCAGGAAGACGGCAGTGAACAGCGCAGTTGAGTTTGCTGGTAATGACTTTCATACTTCGCTGCCAAATCATTGTTTTATCACCTCTGGCTCTCTTCCACCCTTCACGTGGTTGTACGAAAGCAGCCCTTCGAGGAAGTCGGTCGACTGGCATACGCAACACGTGGCCAAGCCAGCGCAACCTATGCAGTGTGATCAGTTCAGCTATCGAGGGCGGGTTATTTCTCCCGTATACCATTAGACGTACTTCAGAATTGCTGATCCGCTGTCCCCACCAGATTCGAGCAATGCTCCGAAGACGTTTATGGTCAAACACAGAAAGTCTTTTGACGTCCTCGGCGCACAGCGACCAGGTTTCTGATACATATAGTAATATGGAGCGCACCGCAGCATTATAAACTCGACCCTTGACAGAGAAGCTGATGTCTCGCCTACGCCACAGGTGACGTAGGTTCACAAAAGCCGCCTTGGCCTTCCCAATCCGGATGAAAATATCATCTTTCGCGAGACCACCGGGACTGATACAGCTGCCCAGGTAAACAAATCTGTCTACTACCTCAATCGGTTCATCCGCATCCACCTACAACTATTTTGTTTGAGATCACAAAACGGACATTAGTTACTCAGAGGACGATTTACATTACGCTTCAACTGAAAAATGAAACCGAAAATAAATCATACAGGTAACAGTACATGAGTAAGCAACAACATAAATAATGTTTTGCTTATTGTGCAAGCAGAACTTCGAGGATCAAGGTCGTTGATAAATTCCCTGAGCACAATGTGTTTTCATAACTTCAGCGACCATCATGATTTATCTGGTTTCAAATGAGCTCGCCTTATGAAGTACCATAATTATCGGTTTATTATTTCTAAACTCAATGGTATTTGTCTGGATGTGTTCTTTAAATGGAGGGTTCAGATACCCCCTCAAACCGACTAATAATACCACTTCATTTTGTCCTAGAGTGAAAATTGCGACGGGATAAATTAGCCTGAAACTTCTATTATGTGCACACAGCGCAGTGCCCATCTAATTTCGATAAAACGAGCAACTGAAGCAAAAGTGACTTGTCTTCAAATTTACTGTGCCAAGAACTGTCGATTGGCATTGATTAAAACAAGTCGTTTCTATTTGTGTTATAGTCATTAAGGAAGACTTTTAGGGTAAACTTTCTCCCTAACCAGTTGAAGCGGAACCCTAGCAACTCAGGTGAGATGGTGAAAAACGGACTGTGAGTTACATTTAAGCCGGCATTATTTTAGGGTAGAGGGATAGTTTGAGCATTGTTAGCTGTTGGTACGTGGTGACTCCTAAGCATTAGAAGTTGAGCAAATTTAAAATCTCGGGTTTTTTATTTCGAAAATTAATTAATGGGTAATCAGTCCCACTTTTCTAATTGGCGTTGCCATTCTGCCTCGCCTGATATTGAAGTTTTGATTCCAAAGGGGAACGACTTTTATACTACTATGGTGAAATCCACGAATAAGTGTTAGAAACTTTCACAAAGGAAACTACTCACAACTTCGCTGAAAACTCTGACTGCCCACGACTGGTTTTATCCTCCTTGGGGCTCATCAGGTTGGCGCGATCCCCGAGATTCCGTCAATCTTATGTTCTAATTTAATTGGACCAACATCAGCAAATACGTTCATTTGCACATAAATTTGGCTTTCACGAGAGAATCAACTGAACAGCTCGTTTACGATATCCTTCAGGTGAGTCTGGCGTGAAAGGCAAAATGGTACGCAAGTGAGTGTATTCGCCGAGTGTTGGAAATAGAAAAAAAGTTTGCTTCTCCAGTCTAATGCCATCACATGCACCCATCTACCCCGTGTTCTAATAGATTTTCAAACGTAAACTGGATTTTATTGCTGCGTTACTTGATTTTGTTGAAGGTGTTATCACAATAGACAAACGGTAAGGTATTGACTTTTTGCGATTGGAAACTTCGGATGAAGGAAGCACCAGAAGATCAATGACAAACTTGTTGCTAGCAACTGAAAAATCACAAACTTCGATACAGTAATTTTTTTGACAACCGTTCGGCTTTTTCCTTATCAAACAGCAATTCGACCATTTCAAGGGCAAATTGCATGGCGGAACCGGGCCCAGTACATGTGACCAACGTTTTATCAACCACAACGTCATCCGAAGCTATGAACCCATAAAAATCTGAAAGTTTGTTTTCCACACGCGGGTCTGCTGTCAAGAGAGCACCATAAGCAATCCGGTGCTGTTGAAGTGCAAGCGCTGACACACCCATTGCTCCGATATATTTGTTGTATTTTTCGTATTCAATGAGAAGTCTTCCCAGTTCTTCAGAGGCTGACATGAGCTCTACAGCTGCTTCACCACCAGGTAGTATGACTGCATCATAAGGGTCAGTGGGTCCTGTCAGGAGGTCCACATCTGGTTTCACCCGCAGCATATGTGCGCCACGAACCAGCAGTTTGCCTGGGCTCAAACTGGCCAAAGTCACGTGCGCTCCTGCAGCTCGAAGAACGTGCACAACCGTAACGGTTTCAATCTCATCAAAACCCGTTGCCAACACGACCAAGACCCGAACATAGGGATGAGCGTTTGTCAGAGTGAAGATAAGGGTGCAGAGTAGCATGTATCGTATCATGTCAGAACTGGTTTGTGATTCCGTCTGAAGAGAAGCACAGCTGAAATCCAAGCAAGAAGTAATCAGCGCAGCATTATATGACCATATTTTAGTGTCATGCATAGATATAATACTTGATCTATTTTTATTTTGACTATCTAACTTTTTAAAATAAAAAATGAGCAAATGACTGAGTGCGTCATCCGCATGTTACATCCAAAATCCTCAGTTTGTTTTCTAAAAATCCCTCTATAAATTGACAAACAACTCATTTACGATCGTGACGTGGTGGAACTACTGCTGTTGTTGCAGATCATGATAATGATGATCAATAATAATTAATAACACCAATTAATAATGATGCGTATGATAATGAGGGTGGAAAAACAAGGGATTGAACAGGAAGGAAAACATTTCATATCATCATCATAATCGTCAGATGTTGTGATAGATGATAGATCTTTTGAATTGGTCACCATCCGTGTGTGCACTTTAAAAATAACTGTATCATAAACTTTTGTCATCATGGAAGGTAGCACTTCAAGTTCCCTAAACATAAAGTCCAACACAATTTCCAACTAAAATCAAACACCAGACTTTCAATTTGATAAATATTTGGCTTCAAATCTAGTGGACCGACCTGCTTTCGACCGATCCCAGGTTGACCGTCATCATCATCATCATCGACAGCATGACATCAGTGTTCAACACCGATGCTTCACTGCCGTACAACCATGATTTATTTGAAAGCCTTATTGTAAAGAAAAGAGTAAAGATGGACGGGGAAGGGACTTAGTGCTAGCTTACCACAATCATTCCGAGGTACCTACACCTTCAGACATTCACTCAGGCAATTTGGACAGAAACTGACAACAAGAACGCCACTGACATCGGTTGGCAGCCATATCTTGTAGTGTGTCCAACCAGGCACATTGAGGAGCACGCGGTCTCCATCCTGGAAGGGGAGTAGCGCCGACAGCACTCAAGCGTTTCGTGATCTCCTTCATACTCCTCTGCCAAGCCAAGGGTTGATCACCTCTCTGTTCACGCCACTATGAATTGGGCATGGAAAACAGTACTCTCTTCGGCAAACGATGGTTCGACATACGTAACACATATCCCAACCAACGCAGCTTCTGGTGCTGGACACATTCTTCAATGGAAGTACCCGTTGTACAACCGTTCACAAACACAATGTCCACAATGGATCTATTGCCACAATTTTCCGTCTTTGGAATGAGTAGCTGAAAGCAATGTCTATACGATTTTTAGTACCCACCACAATTATAGCAAGCTTCATGGGAAGCTGTTTTAATTCAATCATTTCTCTACCGATAAGACTGTCTGCTAGATTGAGTGCATTATGAAGAACAATGAAGCATGCTGAATCGAAGTTGCGTTGTCGTCTTTAATTGGGCTTGCCTACATCGACGTGATGATAAAGGTTGTTCAATCGGATCAATGAAGCGCTTCCCTTTCTGTCGTTAGAGGAGCATAATCTCCTCGGTCTAGAACAATCCACAGATTACCAATAAGGGCATATAAGCCCATCGTACAACCGGCAGCTTGAGTGAGTCGGCGAACGTGTTTTCTCTATTGTCTGATTACATAATTTTCCTCCGGAAATTTTACATGTATCCCAAACACTGGATTCTCACGCCTCGGCTCAAAGCTGACTTTCGAATTTTTATTTCAGCGAAGAGTCTCATGAGCTCTAGCCGTGATATTTGAAAACATTATCCTGTTTGGTTTTTGCTTGTGTATAGCTCTGTTTTACTATGTCGTCGCTGACTGTGTAGATGAATGGGAAACCAAGATATTTTCATCGTTGATAGCCAGATCTCGTCATTTTGTCAAACTTCAGGGGCAACATTCGGGCATCCAGCCATTTACTCAGTAGGCACCTAGTGACCATCCCTTGTTATTGCTCGGCGTCCAGCCAATTTTGCAGTACCTATGAGGAATGTTTCCCTTTTTACTTGCACACAGTCTTTCGCCGTTCTATACACATCATTTCCACATCCTATGTAAGGACAAACCGGATGCATTAATTTAGCAAATTAATGCTCACCACGTAAGCCAATCGATGTTGAGCTCCTTGCGTAATTCGAATCAAGGGAACCCATTAAAACAATATCAGAATTGATAGGGGTCAATCTAGTCATAGTTTACGATCTGTGCGGTAACTCTAACGCGTTCATGGAGGTGGAGACGGGACTTTCTTCACTAGTGGATTACCGGTTTGGGAAGAGGCTACCCGAGGGACACTTCGTTTTACAAAGTTGGTGACACACCAAAGGTCGCCCTCTTGAAGCAGTATTCATGAACATTATGATGAAAGTCGATCGCGACAAATTGTTTCGAGGATGGCCTGCATACTATAGTTGACAAACATTTCAAGATTTGAAGATTTTTCTCTCTGAAAAAATCAGGTCCGGAGTTCGTAGAAGAATGGTGGTCGGACAAGAAGCAGCTTGACAGACGTGCACTGTGTTTCGTACACATTCAGCTTCTACACCGTTAGGCCATCTTCATTTGAAGGACATTTCTTCTAATATTGTAGATAAGGCTTTTTATTTCATCACTCGAGCGGTGGTTGGGTAGAATAGGAGATTCGACGTTTCTGAAGTCTTACACCATTTGGTGAGGGTCACCCGGCTTCGGTTGTACGGGTTACATATGTCTTCGTTTTGACACAGGTAATCTCCAGATAGATAGTCACGGTACGATAAATGAGACGGTTTCGTATAGACCTGATATTGTCAGTGCTGTTACATAAAGGAACAATGTCTTCAGCAAAGACAAGATCAAGGAACAACAATTCATTCACTCTTTTCACTTTGTGATGGAGGTCACAAAAGATGTCGCATGATGTTCAGTCGCATAAAAAGCTATCTTCGTCAGCCCAATAATGAGGAAGCAAAATTAATCTCATTCAGACGTTCAGTTTAGTCAAGATGACTCAAACTCAAATGCAACAGTGTTTCATTTCGTAGTACTGAGGATCCCATTTCGCTGATTCCGGTTGTGTGCAGCGTATCAATAGTAAGTAAAAGGGACCCCAAATGTTCATAGAATGTGGCCTACTGATGAATGCTATATGGTGAAGGTAACCTGAATGAATTACATCCAATCAACGAGTGATTGTACCACAAACGATAAGCTATTCGATAAAACAATAAAACCTGGGTAGCAGTAGCTTACCAATGAGCCGAGTCAACCGATCCCTAAAGTGGAGCTAGTCAAAGTTAGAAGCCAGGCTAAATAATTATTGAGTTATTGAGGTAGGTTATATATGATGGACATACGTTCGTTCAGCACATTGTATGCTCATTCTGGAAGAATTCGAATAGTAAATAAAAAGCCACGACGATTAGAGGTTTAGTTCCTTTCGCTTAGGTTAAACAGTAGTTCGCCCGTGGCAGCATTTTGATCCTAAGCTGTTGCTTCCGCTATGACGCTGTTTTTAAGGATATGAAAGGTTTCAAAGTTCGCTAGAATGCAGTGCGTCTATTTACCTCCCGAGCTTGATTTCAGCTGACACAAAACTGGTGACTGGTGCAGTGACAAGTGAATTGTGCTAGTCACAGACTCAATAATTTTGAGCCTTTCAGCTAATGTACAAAATATTAGTGCTCTGGACAATCGAAATCGCACGCGTGGTAGCATTGGAATGCATTCTACACAAGTCAATTTGGTATTTCGTACAAGTTCTCGACTAAATTTAGGGCGGTTAATCCAGCACAACATAGGAGTGGCCAGAGCTATAAATGACTTTTTCGCCAATTCATAGCCAGCTGGTAACAGGTCAGATGGATGTAAAATCTGTGCTAATTATTGGAAGCTATTTTGAAGTGCTTGTCCAAGGACACGTCTCGGGGACCTCTACTTCTACGACCAGAAATATCGGCGAAAAACTTTCTTTAACAAAGCGGGAATCCGAAAATCCCCAGTTACTGATGGAGTCAAGATCACTCGGTGGTTACGTCGCGAACTTTCTGATCGGGAGGCCTTTGGTTCGAACCCCATCTCTGCGTCTAAACTACCCCTATCCATGCTTGGAAAACCTGGCGATATCTCGGCTTTTGTGCAGCTAGGCACCAAAAAGGCGCAACAACTGAGCTTTTTTCCATGCCTGTTCTTAATAAATCAAACCATAGATGAAAATAATGAACTTGGATCATCAGCAGGACAATACTAACTAATACAAGTGGATGATACCGTGTTTCTGAAGTGGACATCAGGAAACACAATGACCACAAAAGGGATAGCGTGGCAAACAGTCATCAGAAAGGCTGACCTACCGAGGATGACGTGGGGATGTGGATTTAAATGAGCCATTGATTATTTCGGAACCTGACCTGAACATGTGACTGTCAGGATTTAAAACAGAACCATGCTCAGTGGCAAAATTTTATTCTTTCGCTAACACATGTCAGCTGGAGAATCTTATGAAAATATTTTTCGTAGATTGGCATAATTTGCATTCACACCACAGTTGTCTGTAAAGTCCTTCTCCTACCCTGGTGCGATTATTCTTGTGAGTCCATATCAGAGAAGAATAATTTGAGCGCAGTTTCGGTCAGTTTAAGGCCACTCAGCGAGTCAGGGGTTTGAATCTCAGATGTCTGACACGGAAAGTGGACCTATTTACGGATCAAAACTGTCCAAGAGGCATCCATGGTGCGACCTGGCTGAGAAGTCCTAGTGGGTGGGTCAATCGACTGATAAAACTGAGAGAGCTATTGAGTCGTCATCCGAGGCACTGGAAAATCTGTCGTGTCGCCAAAGTGTTAACAAGTGCGGTTATTCGAAATAGATAAGTCGGGTGAACAGTGGTAACATGCCCATCGCTGCATGTGGGAGGTCTTCGGAGACTATGTTTGGCCATTAGTACATTGCACAGGTCTGTTGAGAATATCAAATTAGTAATTCTGAAGTACACCAGATGGTTTTTGGGGAAGTTCATTCGCCCTCGACAGACCAGTTGGTCACATTACGAAGGCTATAGGGGATGGGTACGTACTTCGTATGTCAGGCGACCG